TCTCTCTCTCTCTCTCTCTCTCTCTCTCTCTCTCTCTCTCTCTCTCTCTCTCCCTCTTGTGTGTGTGCTTATGTATTCAAACAATGAATGGAATTAGTAGATAAAAACCAGAAGACCGCAGTGGAGATAAATGTACCAATGCCAGGTAACATCAACATCAGGAGAAAGAAAGAAGTATGAGAAGCTGGAGAAGGAGCAGGGTTTGAAGGAGGACATGGACAGTAAAGGCCAAAGCAATGCCAGTTTTGGTAGGAGCATTTGGGGCTGTGACTCCTAAGCTGGGATCCAGCAGATTCCAAGAATGAGATCAATGCTCTCTGTTCAAAAGAGAGCAGTGCTAGAAACACCTGAGATTCTGTGCAGGATCCTCAAACTCCCAGGCCTTTGGTAGAAGACCCGAGATTGAGCAAGACACAGGCCACCCATAGGGGTGAGAAGGAAGATTTTATATGGTTATTCTGTGTGTGTGTGTGTGTGTGTGTGTGTGTGTAGAGAGAGAGAGAGAAGGTCCCTTCCAACTTTATTATTATTATTATTATTATTATTATTATTATTATTATTATTATTATTATTATTATTATTATTATGTCTATTTGTGTCTCCTACATACATATATGTATACATTTATATACATATATGTATATACATATACACAGTAAGAATACAAGGGAGACTTTAAAAAATTGCTTTGCAGTTTATAGTGTAATTTAGACAAGAGGGTTTCCTCAATAACTAAATTCAGAACGTTGTGTAAACACCATCATCATACAGCTTGGGCTTAAGATATTGTATGAGTCCAGCCATGGGAAGGGAATGAGTTTCACAGCCATTGACTGGGGTGAATTATGCTCCCATTCATTATCTTTGTCTTCCTTTGGATCTCTTGAAGGCCTCATGGTGGCCAATGTAGTTTTCAGTTCAGGAAATTTGCCTCCATGTAACTTAAATGATGGTGGGAACGTTAAGCTTTCATGAAAGAATTACAGATCCTTTCTTAATTTCTGCCTCTCTACTGTCCTCAGCACAGGATGGGCGACTGGGGCTTCCTGGAGAAGTTACTGGACCAGGTGCAGGAGCATTCAACAGCCTTTGGCAAGATCTGGTTGACAGTCCTTTTCATCTTCCGTATCTTAATCCTGGGTCTAGCTGGGGAGTCTGTCTGGGGGGATGAACAGTCCGACTTTGTGTGTAATACCAAGCAACCTGGCTGTACCAATGTCTGCTATGACCATGCCTTCCCTATTTCCCATATCCGTTACTGGGTGCTGCAATTCCTCTTTGTCAGCACCCCAACCTTGGTCTATCTGGGGCACGTCATCTACCTCTCCCGACAAGAGGAGAAGCTAAAAGAGCGGGAGAGTGAACTCCGGGCGCTGCAAGCCAAAGATTACAAAGTGACAGCTATGCTGATGGCCGTGGAGAAGAAGATGGCCAAGATCTGCGTGGCTGAAGATGGCCGAATTAAAATCCGTGGGCCTCTGATGTGGACCTATGTCATCAGTGTGATCTTCAAGACCATCTTTGAAGCAGGCTTTCTCCTTGGCCAGTGGTACCTATATGGCTTTGTCATGCATGCTAAGTATGTGTGCCAAGGTATCCCATGCCCACACTATGTGGACTGTTTTATGTCCCGTCCCACTGAGAAAACCATCTTCATCCTTTTCATGCTGGTAATGGGCTTGATCTCCCTTGTCCTCAACATTCTGGAGCTTCTCCATCTCTTTTGCAAGCACCTGGTCAAAAAGGTTAAGGACAGTGACTGTTGTTCCCCATCTTCTGCTCCCCCTCTACCTTTTGATGCCAACAGCATTGGTAAAATGCCAACAGGGCCTTATCCGCCAGATAAATCCTATTTCTACCTCCCCATGTCAGATGGGCATGCACCACCCTACCAGGGATACAACAAGCTCTCCAGTGAGCAGAACTGGGCCAACTACAACACAGAAGAAACCTTGGCCTTGCAAAACCAGATTAATCCTCCTGATCTCTTTGCAACGGGAGCCCCTGCAGTCCACCTCTCTCCAGAAAAGCAGTCTAGCCGTCCAAGTAGCAGTGCTTCTAAAAAACAGTACGTCTAGCAAGCAGCCATTGGAAGGGTAGGTTCCATGGGGACTTCCTTGCTAGCCGCCGGGTTCCTCTCGAGGGTCTCTTCATCTGGAAGGCTCCATTGTGATTCCTTACCATGGAAGAAAGAGGCAGGGCCTCAGGATTCTTCCAAGGTGCTTCCCAAGTTTTTGCCACGGTGTTCTACTCTCTAGGTGAAAACCGGGACTTGCAGGTGGACACAGACTGAACTTGTGGATCCACCGAAGGTGGAAAAAGAGACACGGAGCAATCTCAGACAAGCCACTGAAGTGGCAGGTTAATGGGCATTTTAAGACAGAGTGCTAAATGTTGATTACTGGGGGGAAAACATAAGTGGTTTTGATTTGTCTTTTTGAGGGGGGAGGGTCTTGTGACTTGCAGATCAGAAAACAACCACTGGACCACAAAGGGAGGAGGGTAGGTAAAAGAGCTACCAGCTTGGACTATCCAAAACTGGGTCTCAAATTTTGGAAGTAAAGGCATCCTGAAAAGGAGAGCGCAGAGTAAACTCAAGGAGGAACTTCTGGTATGTCACCTTTTTTAGGAATGGACATGTGAATAGATTGAGGAAAATCATCCATCAAGCAGATTTGCTTTCACGCTGCAGTTGTCAAACTTCTGAGCAGCTTACTTATCAAAAACTGCAGCTCGTCTACCGTTTGCATATTGTTTCAAGTAGGCATTAGGGAGAATAACTGCTGTTGCTGATGTTACCTTATTAAATATGACTCCTATTTAAGCCCAGAACTGATATGACTTAAGTCCTCTGGGTTACTTCTTAAATGTCTTCCATCTAACAGAGTAGAAAAGCACCGTTTTCAATCTCACTATATTTGAAACTCCAATTTCTGTCTCCACTGACCCTGGGTGAACCTTGGTTTGCAAAGGGATCTCTCTATTGTTGTTGTGTTTTTTTTCTCTTCAACTGGTAACATGGAGAAATTGGATCAAAATTGTTCACTGTGTAAATTAAATCCCCTTTCTCAGTCTCCTTGGTTATGTAATTCCATCTCTCATTCCATCTGGATACTTTTCTGGAGAATTGGCCTTCCACAAGCTAAATGGTCTTCAACCCAGTTGGGGCTACAGGTCCCCAAATTTCCAGCCAAGCTGGTTTGGGATGTTGGGCATTGAGATCCCAACACATCTAGAAGATACCAAATTATGAAAAGCTGCTGCAGGCACTCATTACTTTTGATTGTAAGTGGATCAGAACTTCATCCTGATGGTTCTATGAAGCCACATTCCTTCATAGACAAAAGACTATTGTGTTACCTAAACTTTACTCGGTATAAGTTGTCCATTGATGATACTCTCTAAATACTGAAATCTATCTGGCCTCATCTAGTGTAGCTGCTCACTCTTCCTTCTCATTGCAATCATTATTTGTGCAGGATTCTGCCAAACAGAGATTAACTACTGGGTGTTTGAGGTCAATACCTTATGAATGTGTATCCTTATGAATTGTTGCAGTGGTCAATCTCCCTCCTGGCTTCAGATTTGTACCTTCTTTTTTATTATGTGTTCTAATTCTTTCACATCATATGACTGTAAGCACAAGCTGGATCCTTCAGTGTTAAAACCACAATCTCTCCTGCAATGGGAAAGTAATGAGGATTTGTTTTCCATGCTCATGTGTCAGACTTTGGGGGGAAAGTTCCTGCCTCTTTCTGGATTAAATCAAAGGAGCGGGCTTATTTGGGGTTTTTGCGTTTGTACCTGCAAAAATATATGTTCTGGAAATTCCGACTTTTATTGCTGCAGGAGAAAAGCTTGTGGTGGTTATAAAAATAGGATCGCTCTCCCGCTTCAATCAAGAGCAAACAGTGATAGGAAGAGATGGGGGGGGGAGAACCCTTTTTTCCAACTCTACTGAACGTTTTCTGATAACTAAACTGTGAAAAGGAGATTGTTGGATGTAGAAAACCTACCTGTGTGTCTTTGATGCAGATGACTCAGATCAACGTGGCCATTAAGAAGCTGGCTTCACATCACCAGTTCATAACCAATGTTCACTCTTGCAGGGTGCAAGTTGTAGGGCTATAAGTATGCACTCTGGGTTTTGTGTCATTTTTTTTTCCTAAATAAAAAGAACTTTTTTTCTAAATAAAAAGAAAAGACTGTTCTATGGGTCAATAGTACATCTTGCAGCCTGTATAGAACCGGTCTGATGAATGCTTCCACTCCACTGCAAGTTATTCAAACCACTGGACACAATGATTAAGTATGGAAGATTTAACCAAGTTCCTTATAATGAACATACCTACATTTGCAGCGCTCCAGAGATAGCGGACATAACACATATATTATTTGAATATCAATTATATAAAAAAGAGAGAGATCAGTATCCTGGACTGCACATTAGACTGCACAAACGACCTATTGGTATTCTTATATTAAAAAAATATATTTCCTGTCTGGTCAAAATTCACAAATTATATATATAACAAAGCCCTTCATTTGAATAAAATAGTTCCATATATGGGTTTCACTGGGGTAAATTGTAGGGATACACAGAAACATGATTTGCATTTTTTATTCTTTAACAGAATAACAAAGTTGGAAGGGACTTTCTAGTCCAGGCAAGTCAAACTCGTGATGTCACGTGATGTCGCCAACATATCACAACTTTTTTTCCATTGCCGGCATTTCAGCTTGATGCGTCCGGCCCACGGGCTGGCAGTTTGACATGCCTATTCTAGTCCAATCCACACAAGCAAGAGACAAATGTACCATTTCAGACAAATGGCTGTCCAGTCTCTTCTTAAAACCTTCCAGTGTTGGAGCATTCACAGCTTCTGGAGGCAGGTTGTTCCACTGGTTAATTGTCCTCACTGTCAGGAAGTTTCTCCTTAGTTCTAGGTTGCTTCTCTCCTTGATTAGTTTCCATCCGTTGCTTCTTGTCCTGCCTTCTGGCGCTTTGGAGAATAGCTTGACTCCCTCTTCTTTCTGGCAGCCCCTTAGATATTGGAATATTGCTATCATGTCACTCCTAATTTGTTTTTAATTCCATGTTTACATACAGTCTTATTAACGTTCTGTGTTTTATATTCTGTATTTGATATGGTCTATTGACTAATCAACAATAGAGTTACTTCACTTTCATTCCATTGGGCAACACATGATCTCCAGTCCAGAATGAGTTGTGGAATAGTTACTCACAGCCCCAAAGTCCTCTCTCAAAATACTATCAGGTCTTCCTGGCAACATCAAGCATCTGTTGCGAATCACACATGAATATCTGCAAGGGAGAGGGGAAAGCAAATGACGAAACACAAATGACTACATCATGCCAACAACGTGACTCATGTGTGTGTATCAGACATTGAACTATAATTATGCAAGAGTGGCATTTGATGATGCTAGTCTGCATTTTATTGTGGTTTGTTGTCAACCCCTCTGCAGTCTACAGTGATTATTGCAGTAAAAAAATCAATAATCATCCTTCCCCTAACAGTCCAGTAGCTTAAAATATGGAGGATTTAACCAAGTCCCTTGTAATGAACATACATCTTTTGTGGAGCTCCAGAGATAGAGGACATAATGCGTACATTATTTAAATGTCAATTATATAAGAAAGAGTTCATTAACTTGACTACACATTAGATGAACGACCTATTGGGATCCTTGTATTAAAGTTCCATGTATGATCAATGTTCACATATTACATACAGTGTATAATGCAGCCCTTTATTAGAATCCCAAATTGCCCTACCATGACTTGCCACACGTTGTGTTTCCATCTAATCAGATGGGAAACTCTGATGGCCATATTTAATTGAAGGACTGGAGTCCTTTTGCACCAACGTGGCTTGTTTACACCTAACCCTGTCAAAGGGAGCTTCTGGTGAGCCTTGGCTATTAACCTGAAATTGATCCTCAATTATTCACTGAATTGTTTCAGAGTTTGAGTTGCTAAGAGTGTGTGGTGGAAAGGAAAAAAATGCTGTGTTTGCGGCTACAATCCTATATCCACTCACTGGAAGAAAGCCTTGTTGATATTTATGGGACTCATTTCTGAGTAAACCTGGATAGCCCCAAATCAGAAGGAAACTGGTGGCACATTTCTGATTAATATTTTATTAAAAGGCATGAATTACAGTGTATGAACTACATTTAGCTTCCTCCATCGTGTAGAGTTCTGATGCAGATTTATACTGGGATGAGGCAAAGAAGAGGAAGGAAAGAGAAGACAGGTGAAGCAAACACAGGTTATCTGTACAAGACTTTACAAATATCTTATCAATTGATAGCTTCAATGTGTGTTTTGTTGTCACCTTCGGAGATCACCTGAAGCCTGCCTGATTCTCCCCAAAACTGATGCCTTTTAGTCAAATGTGTCAGCCTGAAAAGGTCCTAGATGATTGCTCCTGATTTTTGGCTATCCTACAGTAATACGGCTCTCTTCCGGTGACATTATACAAATAATACACTGATTGGACACAGTTCAAATTCCCTTCTATTTGGGATGTTCAGATCATTTTTGCTGGAAATAGAGAGAGAGAGAAAAAAGTGAACTAGGGTTCTCCCCTAGTCAGAGCTAATCCGATGAAGGATTACAGTAGTATTCAGATCATAATCTGTTCTTTGTATTTTGTTCAAATGTGGAAGGCACCCTTGAGATCATTAAGACCAATCTGTGCTCAGGATGGAATCCACCCCTGTCCTGGAGTTGGTGGGGGGGATGTGATCTGAGTAGCAAATAAATCTAGTCTTGAGGCACCATGAAGACGATCAAGGCTTCAAGACTCACAATCTTTTAAGTCAGGGGTGTCAAACTGATGGCCCATGGGCCGGATGTGTCATGCCGAAATCACGCCCACCCAATTGCCTGCAATGTTGCGATACATCGTGACACGTCACGTGACATTGCGAGTTTGACACCCCTGTTTTAGATCAGGAAACAGATATGAGATACATGGAGCATGATCTGGAGGGGATATGCATATATTTTGGGATTACTGGAAGAGAAGGTACTGTATATAGAAGGGAGGACCTCACGTGAGGTTGCGAAAACCTAGATCAGGGCTTTTCAACCAGTGGTATGGGTACCACCTGTGGTACATTGGCACCTGGCAGGTGGTACACAACCATCCTAGAAAAGTGGTAGCGGGGAATGGGAATGAGCTGAACTGGTGGTAGCACCGCACAAGCCTGAGCAAGAGACGGATGGAGCTGCAGGGCTGTCAGGGCTCAGAGGAAGCGGCAGGATCAGTGCTTCTTCGGGGCTGTCAGGGCTCAGCGGAAGCGCCAGGATCAACGGCACTGATCCTGGTGCTTCTGCTGAGCCCACAAGAAGCGCCGATCAGCTGGAATGTTGCAGCCTCTCCAGGGTCTTCTGATTTACATTCAGATGCTTGGCAACTGATTCATATTTATGATGGTCACAGTGTCCCAGGGTCATGTGAAGTGACCAAAACCTGCTGCAACCACCCAGCAGACGGGGGGGGGAATAAAAACCAAACACCCCCCACCCCATCCCCGCTGCAAATCCTCAACAGAAATGCTCACAACAATGGAAACCTCGGACAGGAGGAAGAGCGCCGCCGGGCGGGCAGGCAGGTGTCTTGCTCGGCTGTGGCTTGAGGGGAACTTTTTTCAGTGCCATTGTAACTTCCAACAGTCACTAAGCGAACTGTTGTAAGTCGAGGACTACCTGTACTTTATCACTTTTTTCCTTTTTTGGGGGGGTCATCCAGTTTTTGACACCTTGCTAGGCGACGGGTGGTACTCGGATGTTGCCATACCCTAAAAGTGGTAAAATGGGTGAAAAGGTTGAAAAGCCCTGACCTAGATGACCAGTAAACAGCAGGAAATGTTTTGTGTTCTGTGTCTCTTTGCTGTCATCTAGTAGCAGTTTGTATTTTTGCAGCCTGATCTGGCAGCCACGGTACAAGGAGAGGCGTGATGGAAAAGAAAAGAGGAGGGTGCAAACTATAATTATTTATAGCGTGATTGTTTATAAAATAGCTCTTAGGTGTGGCATAGA